AGCAGCAACTCGCGCTCTGCATAGGGGAGTTTGCTGGGAAGAGCTGTGCACCGGGGGCTCGCGCCTTCCCGGGACACGGGGCTGATCCGCAGCCTTGGGTGGATATCGCCGCTGGGGATGGAGGAAGGAGGGAGTTTCCCAAGCCCCGAAGAGCCCCAGGGCTGCAAAACATTAGTGATTCCTAATAAAAAAAAGTAATCTCTCCGTCTAAACTGCTGTCAGGTTTAATCTCAGTGCCTTATCCCAATAGCTCGTCCCCTCCCAGCCCTGTTATCCTGGCTGGTATTTACCATGGAGCCCTTGCTGTGGGATAGGGGTCTTTGGCAGGCGGTGTCCTGAGTGTGCACGTGCTGCTGAAAGACATCTGAGTCCTCCTACCACGCAATTCTTCCAGCCCGAAGCGCTCCTTTGGGACCCGCTCTTGGCCATTCCCTCTTCCTAGGGAAAAGCAATCACATTGTTCTGCCTCGTGTATCAAGGTGGCAAGTCTAATCCCGCGCAGATTAGTTTCAACCTCGTTTTAGCTCCCTGTAATGCACAGGGCCGTGGGGAAGGAGCTCAGCCTCCCGCAGAGCAGGTGCCTGTTGCTCGCGCCCAGGACAAGCGCCAGCATCGCTGGGGCCCGTCCCAGCCTGGGCATGGGGCTGGCATCGGGCACTTAAACAGCAACGTGAGAGCCTGGCCAGCCACCTGGAGCCTCCTTTTAGGGACTGAGGGAGGCTCTGGCTACGCTCATGGTGTCCTGCAAGTAGCTGAAACTTATTTCACTGAATTTATTGGTCTAGAAACCTCTCTTTGCCCAAGAAAGGCTTGGTTCAGGGCAGAGGTGGGGGAGAAGCTGAGGCTTATTAGGCTGTTTTTATTAATAGCAAGTTCCTCTTAAAACAAAATTTTTAGCAAAGGGCTCCGGGAGGAACTTTAGCTGTGTGAGCTGAATCTGAGTCACTGGGCCCTGGGGACCGAATTCCTCTGTGCTATTGTGAGTGTGTTTGCCTTATCGCAGTCCCGGAGAAACTTGTATACAATGCGGAGGGTGGAATGCCTTTGAACCGAAACCCCTGTCGTGCCCTTCAGTCTGGGGCAGAGCTGTGACATTGCTGGGCTGCAGAGTTCCCCTGTGGCTGACATGCAAGGGGCCTGGGTGCTGTGCCTAGTGTCCCTTGTTCTGCTCTTATGCCATCCTGCTGGGGCTGTTAGAGCTCCTAAGCACCGTTCCTGGCAGCTCTGCTCTGCAGATGCAGCCTCTGGCCGTGGCCTTCCTTGTATCTTCACCCTTCCTGTGCTGCTTCTCGCACCTGGAGGAATACTGCTGTCTGCTCCTGCAGCCCCGCTACTAGATGCAAATTGTCCCTGTGCACAGAATGAGGCTGTGAACTGATGGCCAGGAGACTCTCTGGCTCTGTTCTGGTTCTTGATGACACTTGGCAAGTTCCTTCTGCAGAGGCTGTTTAGTAGCAATGAGAATAGGTAACAAGACTCGGCTTTCCAGTGACTTCTGCTGCTGATTGGGCCCGGGTCTCGAAGCTGAACTGGGCCCATTGTGCTGGGCTGGCAAATGATACCCCTGGGTAGAAGTAAATGAGATAAATGAGAGCGAGTTGGCCAAGGAGTGTGAAAGGAGGAGCTGGGAACATTGCTTCTCCCCATGTGATGAATGCCTTTTTTCCAGCTGAGCTTTCCAGAAAACATTAGTTTAGCCGTATGTAAAGGATTCACCCAGGCAGTGACTAGTGGGCAGTGAAGACTTGAGGCATTTGGGCTTCCTGGGCAGGTGTAGGTGTCCCTTTAATCACTTAATGTCAGTCCTAGCACTAGCAGAGCCAGAGGCCTTAGGGAACCGATCCTGCCTTCCTTGTGAACACGGATAGCGCAGCAGCAAGAAACATGCACGGACTAGGGAACAGCCCTAGCCCTCCCTCCACCCCAACCCCCTGGAGGGGTTTTGTCCTGGGCAAGCAGTGTACAAGCCGTGCAGATGTTAATGATTTCTGCACTGAAGAATGCGGTGGTGGGGCTGAACACAGCTCAAGTCATTAAACTGCTGGGCGCACTGAGGCGAAGTGTTGTGGGAGGGCAGAGACAGGAGCAAGACCCTGTAGCTGCCGGCCGCGGGGAGAGCAGTGCCGGCAGGGCACAGCAGCAGAGCGGGCTGTGGAACTGGGAGTCACTTTTCTTGGGTACCTGGAGACTTTTGAGGTTGGGGGCTAGGAATGTGTGCCCAGAACTGACCCAGGATTTCTTTTCCAGCATGAGCAGGGAACGGAATAAAAAGCAGGCACAGCCTGAGAGCAGGAGTCCTCTTCCTTCTCTTGATACACCTGCCATGTTCTGCGCTCTTGGTTGGGTACATGAGGTTTTTCAAGCTCTGTTCTGTTTGACAGACTGGAGAGTTTATCCAAGAGCTTAAAATCTCCAAGCTCACTGTTCTTTCTGCAAGGAGTTGGGGGTCTTTGCTGGAATTTGGTGCCTCATCCACGTGCCTTGTATGCCTGTGCAGAGCTGTGGGGAGCTGCAGCTTTGGGTGGGCAAGAACAGGGAAGTTT